ACTATCATTATTGGCGTCCTCCTCCAATCCTTCACTGATGGGAGAATATTTAGAAATACCTTGAGTGATAGGAGAGTTGATGCCTCTCCCAGAAGGATCCCTATCAGTCAAGACCATAATTGGTTTATTTTTGGTCTTAGGGGATTTCGAGACAATCTTGGTGGGGCATTTTTTAGGTTTAACCGCCATTCGCTGAAATAATAAAGGCAAGTAAGAAAAAAATTATAAAAGGGACAAAAAATTCCTAAGATAAAGAGTCTTTGAAGAAGAACGTACCTGAAGGTCTCATTCAGGACTAGAGTTAATGCTCTCTGGTCAAGTTGATACAGGCTGCAAAACTCGTTCTTTTGCTGCCACCGGAGAAGGCGTGGTGGCAGAAGTGGCCTTTTTTTAGACAACCTCAGATCGAGTCGACTGAGATTTTTTTGGGATGGCAGTCGAAGACGCATCGTCAACTTATTTCTCTTGGTTAGAAGAATGTTTCCGTCTCTTTGGGGATGGTATAGAAGGGACGGTGGCGTTAGCTTCAGGGGCCTACGAATATGTCAACATAATCAGAGGGTTAGAAAGGGAATGCAAGCAGTCAGTAGACCATCAAATTAGAAGATTACCTGAGAAGAAGTTCCAAGGGCTTCATTAGATGAGGGAGAAACATTCACACCACAGATAGATTCCATGGTGTGTTTCTTGTGCTCAACCGCTGAATGAGACAATAACATAAGACGAAGCGTTGGAAGTCAAAAAATAAGGAAGCGTGAAGGAGAACAAGAAGGAGACTGGAAGTCTCAATAGTAAGTTAACCTTTCCTAAACTTGTACTGCATAACTTCAAAAGCATGGTTCAATCGAGCCTTGAAGGACTTAAGAGTCCCATTACTTTGCACAAATTGCACAGTCCACTAATCATAGAACTCCTTAGTGGTTTAGAAGAGGGATTCGAAGGAGACATGAGTCATATTGGGGACGTCAACAGCAAAATTTTAAATTCGTTGAGCATATTCTCCCTCACTGTAGTTGGTGGACAAAAGGCACAGTTCATCTGATGGCTTATAAAAGTTGTGAGGCAAATGTTGGTACAAGCCAAACTGTCTAGCCACCAGATTAGGCTGATGACACAGGAGTGTTATGCCATCATTAGCTCCTACCCTAGATGCTATGAGCCTAGGGGTCAAGAAAGCTTGCCAAATGGCTTTGAATTCAGGGATCTGCGTAGGATCGACAAGAGGAAATGGTCGAGTGAACCACTCAAGACCATGTGGTCTAGAGGCAAAGGGCGCCATGCTTGGCTGAAAAGAAGTGGACCTAAAAAAAACTTCAGGTATTTCTCAAGTGACTCCTCTCGAGTCATGTCATATTTAGAAGGCATCATTGTAGCAAGACGAAGGTTTTAGTTGGCACGTTTGGCAAATGCAGTCTCATGTGCTTCAGAAAGTCGCAGTTTGAGCTGGCTCGCAAAAGTGGCATTTAACCATAATTGAAACAGCTAGAAAGGCCCAGTAAGCAGATAGATGGTAGTAGATGAAAGTGAGGTCATATGATCGACCCCCACGCTGAGTGATTTATAGATCGATCCCAAAATAAGTTTGCTCAGGCATATGTTTTTACCCAGGTGGAGGTGATGAGCTAACGCAATGAATCGTTTAACTACCTTCAGAGATCGACTGCAGAAGACATACTTGGAAAGCCACCAGGTCAAGAAGGCAATGTGCTCTTCGTCAGACACAATGTCAACATCTTTAGCGTGAAAATGCTCCACATATTTGGTGAAGCCAGCAATGTCCTTTTCAAAAGGGATGACATTTTCGTCTGCTTCAGTGGGAAAGAACGCTTAACCTATGGGGCAGAGACTAGTGATGGCCACAATATCGAACAGGGTAGGAGTAAGCACCCCAGCTGCAAAACGAAAAGTGTTTGTGGAGCCTTCCAAGAAATAGATTGCAGAAATCAGCATGTGATTGTAATAACTAGTGTCAACCCTAGAAAGTTGAATCAAGTCAAAAATGCCTTGGGCCTTCCAAACGTCACATTTAACTTTCTCCACTTTATTCAACCATGTAGTGTAATCTTAGTTAACAGCAGGATTAGAGCGAAAGACTTTAGATGTCTGGTAGATGTATGAAAAATCTATAGAGAAATCTCTGTTGATAGGGAGTTTTGTAGTTTTGTGAGTGGGGAAGCAACTTTCCAATTGTTTAGGTGCCCTAATCTCATTAGGAATAGGCCCTAATAGAGCGTAAGCAATGTTGTTATAGATGAAGGGAAGCAACAGTTGGGAGCGAAAAGTTTGGAGATTTCGTGTTGGTGTTGGTTTCGAAATGAAGGTATTTTGATCATGAACGAAGAACTCACTCATGTTGGAAACCAGTTCAATTTCCTAGAGAGTTTGAACGTGCTCAGAGATTTGGCTTGAAGCGGCCATGAAGATGGTGGAAAGTTTTTTCTGGGTAGAAATGAAAGTAATAATTTCTTTTGTGTGCGAAAAGAAAGAGCTTGAGTATGCAGGGAAAATGTAGAGAGGAAAATAAAGAGATGAAATGGGTATTTATACCATCAAGGAAACCAAACGTTTGGAAAGAAAAAAGAAAAAATATGGCTACACGACCGGCACATGTCAAACAGGTGGCGACTGAGTTGAAGGAGTTGGTTAGTTAGGGGCCACGATTATCCTAGGAAATTGAAGCTAAAGAAGCTAGAAAGTGGGGTAGTGGTTGTGTGATCACTGGTGTAACGTTTGAGAGAAAAGGTCATGATTATGATGATGTCACTTCGCACTAAGAGAAAAGGATTAAAATGTCTATTTCTATTCTTTCAGTCAAAAAGGACATTTTGGGGGGCAATTTGTTGGCTAGGATTTTCGCAAAGGGTTAAAATTCAATCAAAAGCCAAAAAGGTTCTTTGAGAACTCAGAATTATAGGAAGTTGACTACAGAAGCAGTCGACCGAGAGAGATTTCATAAAAAGTCAATTGGGCTTCTGGACGCGACGACCAGAAAAGAGGCCTCGTGAGGAATGAATTGGGCTCAAGAATGTTAAAAAGCCCAAAGAGTACATAACTAGCGAAGCAAAGTGTTATGGATGGAGAACATGGTTCCATAGCAGGGATGGAGAACATGGGTTCATGGAGGGAAGTTACAAGAGACATGTGGCTTATAAAGAAGTGAAATCCGCTGAAAAGTAGTAATTTTGTGTATTATAAATAAAGCATTTAGTGCATAGTGTTAGGGGTTCAAATTTTCACATTCCTATACGCTAGTCTCTCAGAGTATCCAAGCGAATGAGCGAAATGAGTCAAGCTAGGGCAATGTACGTTTGAATCAACCAATTTTTAACTATTTTTATGTCATGTAATCTATTTTTACAGTTTAAAACGTCTTTTGTTTTATTTTACAAGTTTTGTTTTATTGATTTTAAATTCGTTTCGCCTTAGTCGAACGAACCCTTTTGAACATACTTTGTGAAAATACTCGAAAACTGAAGCATTATACTGAGATTCTTTAGTCGATCTCGCCAGTAAACTTTTTGGTAAGAGATCAACGTTGTTTGTCAAAATCAGAGATAAAGACAAATCTACTAGACTTTATCGCTCATCCCCCTGAGTTTATCATTCTCATTGATTATCTCATGCCAATCTTTGCAATTTAAGTGGTTTCCCATCACCAACTTCCAATATTCATAATTATTGGTCGCTATTCTGAACATATATTCATCAGAGCAATATAACTCTTCATCCTGAGTTACAAAAGACATTAGTTTTTTCAAATAGCGGAACTAGTGTCATATACTAAAATAAAAATGGGTTCATGAATGTAATGCACCAAGTAAACTCCTAAAAAAAAAGAGATGAGTCAAAAATCAGATTTAAATATAAAGTCTTTCCTTAATCAAAACTTTCTTAGACACACACTAAAAAACTTTCTTACTTTCTTAGACACACACCAAAAGACTAACACGCTTTATTTTCATTTGCGACCATAGAACATAATAATCTTTTTTCTCGCGAACACAACACCTTAGTATTCTAGAGCTCCAAGAGCTTTGATACCAACACTGAGAAATGTTTCCATATTTTTTCCTATATGAACTCAAAATTGACACTATGCAAAAGGAAAACAATAATAATTATATTGCACCAATAATTTTATGTGAAAAACTCTCTCAATGTAAGAGGTTACAAGCTCTCTTGATAAAAAAAAGATAGAGGTAGTCTTATTTACACACATAATCACAAATTAAAACTGCTTGGGAGCACACAAATTAAAATAATAATAATAATAATAATAATAATAATAATAATAATAATAATAATAATAATAATAATAATAATAATAATAATAATAATAATAATAATAATAATAATAATAATAATAATAATAATAATAATAATAATAATAATAATAATAATAATAATAATAATAAAATTAAATTATCTAATATTTATTTATGAGTGTATGTCTAAATTTTATTTATTTAGGATTGTGTTCAAATAATTATTTATGCAAAAATGAAAGCAAGATTTTTTTCCTTTCAAAAATGCTAAAACTTTATTTTTAAATATCACTCTTAAACTGCTTCTCTTGGATGTGAAGATTAAACTCTTCACATAGTCTCCTATGAATTAACAAGGTCCAATAATTATGTCCGAGGCATCCATCTTCCTATATCCTAGAACTCCTCTTAAATTATTGATTAAAAAAAATACTCTTCTCGGGGAGAAAAAAGGGGATCATACACGTTGAAAATTTTCACTCTACAAACATGTTAAGGGGGGGTATTACGGATAAGATTGAACTTCAGCCACTATGCCATGTTACACTATTTAACTCCTGGCTTTCCTTGTATAGCAATCAAGTCATTATATTAATAAATATGAGGTTAGATCTCCAATATGAATGAAACCACGAAAGCACCTTCTTTGAAGCCTCAAGAGCGCCTATAAAAAGGTTAGTTATCTTCAAGTGGAACTCATTCACAACACTCAAGTTTCTTTCTAATACAAGAAAGATGGCTCAGACACTAGCACTTCAGTTTCTTACTTTACTCCTTTTCTTCTTCATGGTAATTAATTCAATTATATACTTGGTTTTTGCTAGTTTGCAATGATGCCACATTAATGATACTTTTTATTTATAATTAAAAGAGAAAGTATTGTTTTTTCATCGGTTAATTATTTTATTTTGGCTAATATCTCATTGGCATATAGGGCATCACTGCTAGAGACATGAAGACAGAGTTACGAGACGTGGATTCTAATGAAGAACCATACATTACACAGTACAGACACACTAAATCAGGTTATGCAGCTTCATATAATACTCGTACTCATGATTCCAACCAACATTACATAACTTCCTACGTTAAACATGAAGCCAACCAACCTTACATCACACAGTACAGACCAACTTCCCTTGAAGCCAAGCAGACTGATTACATTACCGCATATAGGACCCGTACCGATGAATCCAATGGACCGTACACAACTGCCTACGGTAAACATGAAGTCGCCCATCCTTACATCACACAGTACGGACCAAACTCAAAAGACCTAGAAGGGTCTGCATCTTCTAATATGGATCGCATAGAAGCTTTCAAGACAGGGTTTTTCAATTTGGATGATATTTATGTTGGAAATGTAATGACCCTCCAATTTCCAGTCCAAGAGGTTTCTCCTTACCTACCGAAAAAAGAGGCCGACTCCATTCCTCTCTCAATGTCACAACTCCCAAGTGTTCTACAACTCTTCTCAATCTCTGAAGATTCTACTCAAGCCAAATCGATGATAAGAACACTTGAAGAATGCGAAGGAGAAAGCATTACAGGAGAGACAAAGATATGTGCCAATTCTCTAGAGTCAATGCTCGTATTCGTTAACACAATCATTGGTTCAGACACCAAACATAAAAGTATTCTCAGTACCAGCAAGCCGTCACCTACAGCTACTCCTCTACAGAAGTACACCATTTTGGAAGTATCACATGACATTCATGCTCCTAAATGGGTAGCTTGCCATCCCCTACCATATCCCTATGCAATTCACTATTGCCATTACATAGCTACAGGGACTAAAGTGTTCAAAGTCACACTTGTTGGTGATGAGAATGGAGACAAGATGGAAGCTCTTGGCATTTGTCATTTGGATACATCTGATTGGAACCCAGATCATATTGTATTTAGACAGCTTGGAATTAAGGCTGGGAAGAATACTCCAGTGTGTCACTTTTTTCCTGTAAACCATCTTTTGTGGGTTCCTGTGGAGCCTTCAAAAGCCACCATGTGAAGGGAGATGAGGTATCTAGGTATGTATAATAAAGGTTGATCAACCTTACCAATCTGCAATAGTTATAACATGCATGTTGGTGTGTGATGACTGATGACCAATTTCCTAATTGTATGTTCTGTTTGTTGTTTTATGTATAAGTAAATTAAATAATTAATGTGGTATGCTAAAATTAAGAGTTTTTTAACGTAAAAATATTTTATGAACTTTAACTTCAATATCACATGTACAAACTGCAAATTCTCATTAGGTAATTAAAAGCCCTAAGAGATACCGACACATATTAGAAGCCAAACTACTTAGAAATCATTCGCATTAAATAAACTTAATATCATCCATTATCATTACAATTAATAACGTTTTTTATAACAAAGTTTACACCTCGAACAATAAAAAAATGAGGGTATAGATAATGGGAGCGCCATGTTTAATTTATTTATTTAACTATTCTATCGATTTTTTGGAAGGTAATATAGTTACGAGGAATCTTGTTTTGAATCATTGTATCCGTATGTAAAGTTTTTTTCAACGATTTCTCACTGAATGTCTTTCTAGATTCCATATTTTTCTTTGTTAATTAGTGATTCTCAAAATCTTTGTTATCAATAAACAAGAATAGGAAATAAAATATAAATGAAATATTTCATTGATAATAAAAAAAAGACAACAAAGATAAAGAAAGTCATTGTTAACTATTCCACATATTCAAATTTCTCACTCCACTCAACTTCAATATTATTCTTAGTTATCTCTAACTTAGAGAAAATTTAGAAATAATTCTTTCATATGGTATGAGGAAAGTCATTTCCTCACGAGAGTTGTTTGTCACTTCCTTTAAGAAGTTAAAAATAGTAAGAGGAATATTAATTATGATGTTGTATGTAAGGAATACTAAGAGATTCTTGTCATATCATACATGTTGGTAAAAGATGATTGATGACCAATTTCCTAATTGTATGTTTGTTTGTTGTTTTATGTATAAGTAAATTAAATAATTAATGTGATATTAGGCTAAAATTAAGAGTTTTTTTGACGTACTAAAATGACTCATAATATCAAAACAACCAATGAAAGAAATGACAGAAAAAAAGCCAGCAGCATTACCCTACAACAGCAACCCCAAACCAATAAAACATGAAAAAAAATTGACTAGATTGAAATTTGATACCATGAACATTGGACAAGAGCGAGAAAAAAACATAAGAGTTAGCCTTAGTTGTTCTACCCAAATGCCACACTTCAGCATCACAAGTATAAACTACAAATTTCCATTAGGTAATTAATAAAAAAAAAATTGCAAATCCTCTCAACAACTATTTTCGAACGAAAAAATAGAAAATCCTCTCAACAACTATTTTTGAACAAAAAACTAGAAAATCCTTCCAACCACAATTTAGTACGGAAAAATTGTAAATCATCTCTAGACACACAACTATCCAAATCTCCAATACACCCAAAGACTAGAATTATTGTGGTAAATTAACTCAAATTAACTCTCTATATTTATAATAACCTCTTACTCCTTTTTTCTTCACATTAATCGTTGTGAAACTTGGATGAGTACCCACTTTAACACAACAAATCCTCCCTTCATTCAAAGTCTAACATCTCTTCACTTCATAGTTACCTTCATCCTCACAAACTAAAAGATCATTTTCATAACTAACCATATTTGCAGAAGGAGTACTTTTCAATTCTCTTTATGCTCCGCACATCCTCTATAAATTATCGGCATCAAGATTTCATGTGACCAAATTGTTGACAATAATGACACTCGACATAACTTATATCTCTTGGTTGAAAACTTCTACCATATTGATCACAATAGTTCTTTCTTTATCCTCCTTAAACAACTAGTACCTGATTTTCTTCAGAAGATTGATCAATACCCATCATTTGTTGACTCCCCTTCAATGATTTCAATACTTCATCTAATTGTAGTTTGCTCTTCCTTGCGAAAATTTATTGCACTAATGGTTTGTAATATTTGGGTAGTGAAGCCAACAAAAGTAGCGCTTGCTCTTCATCTTAAATATATTCCCCTACATTCATAATTCTAGATACCAACTCATTAAATTTATTAATATGGTCAAATTAAATACATTACCTTCATCTTTAATCTCCAATGAGTATAAATTCATTTTAATCATCAATCAATTAGTTAATATGGTTGATGCAAACTTGCTTTCTAATAAATCCCAAAATTTCTTTGGAGAGGTTTCTTTCAACACAGTCACTTTAATATATGAAGCAAGTGTCAACCAAATTGTACTCACTGCCTTTTTTTTTATTGAATACCAATGGGATTCCTTCATCTCACTTGGTTTTGCCTTTTCCAAAGCACAATCAAGACCTTGTTGGACCAAATATTCTTGTATCGTGCATTTCCATAAAGGAAAATCCATTCTTCCATCAAACAAAGAAACATCCAACTTCAATGTAGCCATAATATTGTTTAAGAAAATAAAACTCAAATCAAATAAGATGATAGAAAACATGTGATTTCCTCCCTTGACCGAAACCTTTGCTCTGATGTCAGCTGTTGGGAATATATCCAAAGTAAATCTCCAAAAACTGATAAAAATAAAATAAAATAAACTCCCAATAAAAAATTAATTACTAAATTCCTACTTTTGGATGGAAAAATTGCAAACCCTCTCAAGAACTATTTTTTAACAGAAAAATAGAAAACCGTCTCAACAACTATTTTTGGACGGAAAAATAGAAAACCCTCTCAGCCATAATTTTTGTACAGAAAAATTGCAAACCCTCTCTAGACACACAACTACCCAAATCCTCAAAACACCAAAAGACTAAATTTGTTGTGGTAAATAAACTCAAATTAACTCCCTATATTTATAAATAACCTTTTACTCATTTTTCTTCACATTACTCGATGTGGGACTTGGACGAGTACTCACTTTAGCACAACAAATTCATCCTTCATTCAAAATATCACATCTCTCCACTTCATAGTCATATTCATCCTCACAAACTATAAAAACGTCTTCACAACTAACCATGTTTGCAGAAGAACCACTTTTCAATTCTTCTGTCTTCTTCCTTATGCTCTGCACATCCTCTATAAATTTTGGACATCTATATTGAATGTGAGCAAATTGTTGACAATAATGAAACTTGATAGAACTCATATCTCTTGGTTGAAAACTTCTACCATATTGATCACCATGGTTCTTTCTTTGTCCTCCTTTGACTTCTAGTAGCTGATTTTCTTCAGAAGATTGATCAATACCCATAATTTGTTGACTCCCCTTCAATGATTTCGATACTTCATCTAATTGTAGTTTGCTCTTCCTTGCGAAAATTTATTGCACTAATGATTTGTAATATTTGGGTAGTGAAGCCAACAAAAGTAGCGCTTGCTCTTCATCTTAAATATATTCCCCTGCATTCATAATTCTAGATACCAACTCATTAAATTTATTAATATGGTCAAATTAAATACATTACCTTCATCTTTAATCTCCAATGAGTATAAATTCATTTTAATCATCAATCAATTAGTTAATATGGTTGATGCAAACTTGCTTTCTAATAAATCCCAAAATTTCTTTGGAGAGGTTTCTTTCAACACAGTCACTTTAATATATGAAGCAAGTGCCAACCAAATTGTACTCACTGCCTTTTTTTTATTGAATTCCAATGGGATTCCTTCATCTCACTTGGTTTTGCCTTTTCCAAAGCACAATCAAGACCTTGTTGGACCAAATACTCTTGTATCGTGCATTGCCATAAAGGAAAATCCATTCTTCCATCAAACAAAGAAACATCCAACTTCAATGTAGCCATAATATTGTTTAAGAAAATAAAACTCAAATCAAATAAGATGATAGAAAACATGTGATTTCCTCCCTTGACCGGAACCTTTGCTCTGATGTCAGCTGTTGGGAATATATCCAAAGTAAATCTCCAAAAACTGATAAAAATAAAATAAAATAAACTCCTAATAAAAAATTAATTAATAAATTGCTACTTTTGGATGGAAAAATTGCAAACCCTCTCAAGAACTATTTTTTAACGGAAAAATAGAAAACCGTCTCAACAACTATTTTTGGACGGAAAAATAGAAAACCCTCTCAGTCATAATTTTTGTACAGAAAAATTTCAAACCCTCTCTAGACACACAACTACCCAAATCATCAAAACACCAAAAGACTAAATTTGTTGTGGTAAATAAACTCAAATTAACTCCCTATATTTATAAATAACCTTTTACTCATTTTTCTTCACATTACTCGATGTGGGACTTAGATGAGTACTCACTTTAGCACAACAAATTCATCCTTCATTCAAAATATCACATCTCTCCACTTCATAGTCATATTCATCCTCACAAACTATAAAAATGTCTTCACAACTAACCATGTTTGCAGAAGAACCACTTTTCAATTCTTCTGTCTTCTTCCTTATGCTCTGCACATCCTCTATAAATTTTGGACATCTATATTGAATGTGAGCAAATTGTTGACAATAATGAAACTTGATAGAACTCATATCTCTTGGTTGAAAACTTCTACCATATTGATCACCATGGTTCTTTCTTTGTCCTCCTTTGACTTCTAGTAGCTGATTTTCTTCAGAAGATTGATCAATACCCATCATTTGTTGACTCCCCTTCAATGATTTCAATACTTCATCTAATTGTAGTTTGCTCTTCCTTGCGAAAATTTATTGCACTAATGATTTCTAATATTTGGGTAGTGAAGCCAACAAAAGTAGCGCTTGCTCTTCATCTTAAATATATTCCCCTGCATTCATAATTCTAGATACCAACTCATTAAATTTATTAATATGGTCAAATTAAATACATTACCTTCATCTTTAATCTCCAATGAGTATAAATTCATTTTAATCATCAATCAATTAGTTAATATGGTTGATGCAAACTTGCTTTCTAATAAATCCCAAAATTTCTTTGGAGAGGTTTCTTTCAACACAGTCACTTTAATATGTGAAGCAAGTGTCAACCAAATTGTACT